TTTTCACCCGGCCTGCCGCAGGTGGGGGGCTGCTCTCCTCCTCCCCTGCAAAAATCCACCTCCCTGCTGGTGCTGGGTCTTGTGTCTGCCCAGGGTGGTGTCTGGGGAAGGGTTCAGCACGCCTTCTCCCCAGGAATAGCACCCCGGGCCTCGCTCTGAGCCTGTTTGGTGCTGGTCAGCACCCGAAGTGCTGTGGGTTGGGGGGGCTCTTGCTGCAGATCCCCCCTGGAGCCCTGGCTTTGTCCTTCCCCTGCGGCAGCTCCCACCTGGCCCTGGTTTTTTCCCCTGGTTCAGGAGAGCCGTGGGTGAGCCCCTGGCCCTCTGGAGAGGGTCTCCCTATCATGGGAGCTGTTTCCAAAGGTCCCAGAAGGGCTTGAGGATCTCAAATTTGAGCCTGTACTTACAGGTGCGGTAAAAAAAAGGGCTTTTCCAGCCCCTGCAGTGGGGCCGGGAGGGCTCCGAGCATCAACTCACACTGCCCTTCTGCCCGCCTCCCCCGCCTCATGGCTCCCTCTGCTCCCCGCTGTCGCCCATGGGTGCCGCAGAGGATGTGCCACCTTCCCCCCGTGGTGACACTACTCCTTTCTCTCCTTGCCCCCCAAAAAGCCATGGGTCAGCCCTATCTAGAAGCGTTTGGTGCAGGAAATATCTAATATATAAAATATAAATGTATTGTATGTTCACTTGTTTTAAGCGAACGTTGAATAAAGTTGACATCTGCCCACGGAGCTGCTGTCAGGGGCTTCCCCAAGCTCGGTGCCCGAGCCATGGCCTGGTGCTCCTGAGGGAAGCAGGATGCTGTGAGCTTCCTCTCAGCAGTGCCTTGCCCTCAGCAGGGAGGAGATAGCCCCTCTCTGGGGCTGGTGGCCCTGACCTCTGGCTCGGCAAGGCCTGAAGCAGCAAAATGCCTGGAGCTGGGCATGCAGCCAGGGGAAGCGGGGCACGATGGTCCTGCGGAAGGTCGAGCGGCAGCTCCCGGCCCTGCACTCTGCCCCCGCCTGATGCCAGAGCCTCTAATGGCTCCGCCGAGGCCTACGGCAGCCCCCTGCCCAGTGCTGGGGCCCAGCTCCCAAGCCTGTCCTGAAGTTGGGGATGGGTGTGGGGTCCCCAGGAGGTGCAGCTGGTCCCGGTGGGGTGACAGCCCCGGTGCTGGCACCACTCTGACCACTGGGCTGGGCACCAGCACCCCACTCCCAGGGCAGATGCATGGCAGGTACTCGGGGACCACAGCAGGCACCCTGCTTTGGGAACCCCCAAGTGGCAGCGGGATGGCCACCACCACGGCCACCCACCACCTGCCCAGCCCTCGGCCACACTGGGCAGTGGCAGAGCATGGCCATGCCCCTGGGGCCAGCAGCTCTCGGCCATGGGGTGCCCCAAGGGCTTCGGGGATGTGGAAGGGTCCCACATGCAGCTGAGGAGTCCCCATGGCTGCAATAGGGTGCAGAACATTGGGGCTGAGCCTCACCCCGGCTCTTCCCCTCTCTTGAGACCCCAGCCCATCCTGCCTTGGGCTTGGGGGTCTCACGCCCCCGGGCAGGGGCTCCACGCACAGCCTCCTCCCATCTTAGGGACATCAACACATGCTATGGACACGGCTGCGGCTGATGGGTGCTGGAGAGGAACAAGCGATCCCCCTGCCCCAAGATATGGGTTGTGACAATAATAAGCTGCACATCCCCAAGTCATCTCAGATGTGGAGAGAAGAGGAAGAGATGAGAAAAAGAAGAAGAGAAGACAAGAAGAAGAGAACATGACATGAAGAGAAGGTGGCCAAGAAGAGAAGGAGGAGATGAAGAGGAGATTACATGAAGATGACAAGAGAAGGTCAAGATGAGGAGGAGAAGACAGACAAGAAGAGGAGAACGTGACATGAAAAGAAGGTATCAAGAGGAGGAGAAGGCCAAGAAGAGAAGGCCAAGAAGATGAGCAGAAGACCAAGAAGAGAGGATGGCAAAAAGAGAAGAATGAGGAGAGAAGATGAGAAAAGAGACAAAAAGATCAGAAGAGAAGAGCTGGTTGCTTTCCAGCCCTGTTCCCAGGGGGCTGGGATGCAGCTCTCTGCTCTGGCCACTACCACCACCGTGACCATGCTGTGGCCACCCCCATGGAGCTGCTCTCCATGGGGACCGGGGCGCCTCCGGGGCCCTTTGCACCCAGCTGAGGCCGGGAGCTCCTTGCAGAGCCCAACCCCAACTGCCACCAGCCACCAAGGAAAGGAGTCCTGGCTCCCCGGCCACCCCGGCTCCGTGGCCACCGCCTGGCCGGGGCCTCTCCGTGCAGGTGCCATCACCAGCAGCAGCTCCGTCATGTCCCCGGGGGGTGGCCGAGGGGGTGCTGGGCGCTTCTCCCCATCCTGCCTGCCACCTGCAGCCACCAAGCTGGGCATCTCATGGCCAGGCGTCCTCGTCCAGCCCCTCGTGCTCGCGCAGGACCCAGGTGGGCTCCAGGAAGGAGGAGAGGACGCTTTGCAGAGCCCCCCAGGGCTTGCGCTCCCCGGGCTTGGGGCTGCCGGCGGGGGGCCGGGGGGCTGCCCCGTAGCCCCGTGGGGTGGGGATCCTGGAGGGCTTCTTGTGGGGCTGCGTGTCCAGCCGGGGCTTGGAGGACCCAGGTGGGCTCCAGGAAGGAGGAGAGGACGCTTTGCAGAGCCCCCCAGGGCTTGCGCTCCCCGGGCTTGGGGCTGCCGGCGGGGGGCCGGGGGGCTGCCCCGTAGCCCCGTGGGGTGGGGATCCTGGAGGGCTTCTTGTGGGGCTGCGTGTCCAGCCGGGGCTTGCCGCGGGGGGCGGGGGGGCTGCCCCGTAGCCCCGTGGGGTGGGGATCCTGGAGGGCTTCTTGTGGGGCTGCGTGTCCAGCCGGGGCTTGGCCCAGGGGTGCGGGGACGGCGCGGGGAGGGAAGGCACTGGCTCAGGGATACCAGGGGGGGACTCCACCAACGCAGGGG